TTGCAATAAGACCTCTTCCAACGAAGTAAATAACTGGATGGAAAACACAAGAGAACTTAAAAGTCGTCTAGCCTCCCCTCGTCTTGTCACGATGGAGACTTGTGCAGAACTGAAGTGAATTGCTTGTAACTGGTGGATTGGTCGGCTGTACATGAACTGATATGACCCGAGACTGCATGGTTTTGCAACTACTGGAGACGTTAATCCTTCCCTTTGTATCGGCGGCAAGTTAATCCTCGTCGTGTCTGACCTAACACCTGACCCACACTACATGAGCTCACTGGCGTACTTGTTTGAAGTTGTTTCCTTAATCCTCAACAGGTTACAGGTTGTGTGTGTGGCGGGGGGGGGGGCCGCATAGCAAGGGTGTAGCTCATGACGTGGCCGTGATGATGTGGGTCAGGTGTTAGGTCAGACACGACAAGGATTAACTTGCCGCCGATACAAAGGGATGGATTAACGTCTCCAGTAGCTGCGGATATGGGTGATGAGCAGACCCAAAAGTGCCGCCCGGGGCGGACCGCCCCCTAGCTACGCTAGTGGGCAGCGAGTGCAATTTCAGCCAGATCATGGTAAGGGTTTTCACCTGTCGCATCTCTGTAATTTGCCACTTCTGACCACAATTTTAGGGTGTTAGATGCATGGACGGGCTGACATCAAGTGATCAGGAAATAGACGTGTCCCTCCTTCTGTACCACGACCCGTTCAAATGTATTAAACTTTTCTTATTATTTATTGTCCCTGTAACCCCGTTGCTATATATTATGGCTCAAAATTAGGAAAACTGAGTTTTCATGGACAGTCCAAAAGTATCCAGAAAGTCGCTAGATTTCTGTGGCTATCTCTAGATTTGCGGCAAGTCGCAAATCGCTCTAAAATGTCGCTAGAAAAAAACAAAAAGCTCTAAGACAGTGGTTCCCAACCATTTTAGTACCATGCCCCACTTTTTTATCACAAATTTCTTCATGTCCCCCACCCGTTAATTGTTTAGTATGATATAACAATATCAGTTTTGAAGAAGTATAACATAAAAAATTGTATCTTTCAAATAAAACTAAAGGGTTTAACTTCAAATTTAATCAAATAAAATCCATTTTATAATGTGTATAACATATCTACCATCAGATTAAATAAATTCAATTACAATCAATTAATGAGACCCTTGAGCCTGATGTCTACTGCAAAGAGATTTTATCCGAGGCAGAAATTTTGTTAATTTCAATCTCAAGTCGCCTCGTTTAGTGATATCCAGTCGGTTTCTTTTCTTCAGTAATAAGTCATTCACAGCACTAAATCCACATTCCACTAAGTATGACGATGGGAATGGTAACAGTAGTTTTCTTGCCAAACTACTTGTATTTGGATATTTAGCTTGTGTTTCTTCACAGAGCCACATCATTGTTCCTTTTATTTTGAACAGGGCTTTAATCGAGTCATCATTTTGTAATTCTGAAAGTTCTCCTTGATACTCCATGGTTACATCTGACAGATCCACTAGCAATGGCTGAGTCATCCAAGATGGATAATTAATTTCTTTCAAATCAGAAAATCTGAAGTTGAAATCGCTTACCATTATTTTTAAGTGCTCCACAATAACAAGACAAGTAGCATCTGTTACCTCACATTTATTCAGCCAATAAAATTGTTCAAATTTTTTGACAGAAATATTTTCTTGGGATAATTCCAGAAATGATATTGTAGGGGTATCGAGATATTAATGTTGTCTAGCACTCAGGATGGAAGGAAACTCTAATGTGGTTTTCTTATATAATATATATAAGTTATATGATAGACAGTCTGGTGCTGGACATGCCGTGTGGTGGGGAGCAGCTCAGTAGAAGACGTTCGGGAGTATCGTGTTGAAGGAGGTAGATGTGCAGGAGCTTCGTTAGAGAAGGTGTTGCCTGTTGCTGGCCTCCTGGTTGAATGAAATGTTAACAGCGTGGAGCTTGCTGGAGGAGATGTTGCTTGTTCAAGAAGAATGGTCAGAATGAATCTCAATGGAGAGACAGAGCTTATATACACCCGGCAGCAGCCGCCAGTCCTCTATGAGTCATGTTGGGAAAACCCGAGAAGTAGCCGGTGACTAGTTTCGTTGCTAAGATACGGTAACATCTGGGGACAGCTCTCCCTTGGTTGCTAGGGAAGACGGTAGCAGGTGGTGTGCAGCTACGCAGTTAGTTTGTAGAGGAGACGTCCACTACAATATAAAGCCAAATATCTTGGCCTTTGAATTAACAAGAGTCATATTTGTTCCTTGGAGCTCCTTATTTAAGACATTGAGTTTTTCAAATATATCTGCTAAATAACTGACAAGTGCTTTACCATCAACTGTCAGTAACAGAGTCATAAGGTTTGTCATCCAAGAACTCACTAAGAATATCAAATAATTCCATGAATCTTTTCAGGCAATTCCCATTTGATAACCACCTTACATCAGTATGAAGTAATAATCTTACATAGTCTGCATTTTGATCCTTGCAAAATTGTTTGAAAAGACGCTCACATTTGGCATTAGCTTTTATAGTGTTGATGCATTTTATAACTGCATTCAATGTCTCGTTTAGAACAGGGGAAACTTTTTTGGAAACTAAATTCTGTCTATGAATAACACAATGCACTAACAACATTTGGGGATTGTCGTCTTTCAATAATTTTAAAACTTCATTTTTCTTGCCCATCATCACTGGAGCACCGTCTGCAGCACAAGATATAATGTTCTCCATTGGTATCTGCTTATCATCTAAATATGTTTTTAATTTCTTATATATATCAATTGCAATAGTGGTGGTTTCTAATGCTTCGCAAAATAGCATATCCTCAATAAATTCTCCATTATCAACATATCTTACATAGGCCATTAACAGAGCTTCACTATCTCTTACAGTTGATTCGTCCAACTGTATTGAAAAATTTGTATATTTTAATTTTTCAACAAGTTGTACTTCTACATCACAACTCATTTCATCAATCCTGCTACTAACAGTATTATTACTGAGTGGCATGCTTTTGAGATCTTGGTCATCTTTTTCAAGAACTACTTTCAGAAAAGTTGATATTGCGGGCTTAATTAAATTCTCCCCTATTGTATGATTTTTGCCACATTTTGCTATGAGAAGAGAAATTTCATAACTAGCCTCAAGACCACGATCCTTGCTTGCACTTCTTGCAGAGAACAATGAACTGTTCATTTTATGCATCATGGGGGTAACTGAAAAGTGAAAATAAAATATTTATATACTTAGGAAAATAAATTTAATATCTAACTTCTGTAACATACAAGGCACAATGTCAATATACAGTTGCCATTTCAAGTAAATATTGAGCTTTATATTCACAGTTTTAAATTAATGTTACTGTGACAAGATCAATGAATGATTATTTTTATATATTATTTTCAGAGAATAACAAGATCAATAATCATAATGAAAAGCACTTTAACCAGCCCTCTCAGTGAAGCTAAAAAACAAAGACAGATAACTATATCAACATGAAACTTGCATTTGTGTTTAATTTAATACTGCTTCCATGCTTTATTGTGCACATTTAATTTGGTTGTAGTTAGCAGGGTTGCCAACTCGGATTTTCAAATGTCGCTAGGTTGGTACCTAAAAGTAGCTAAATGTCGCTAAATCTTCCATGGAAAGTCGCTAGCTATTATTCCCCCCTTCAGTAATTTGATGCAAATAATATTTTCATAATGACTATAATGGACGGAGTATAAATAAAATGCATTATGTAAAAATAAAAATATTTTTTTTTTTTAAAGTTTAATGTGCACACTTACCTATTATTCAATAGTAATTGCATCTCAGTCCTCTTGGTAGTGTGAACAACTGTAAAGCTGGAAGCATGTGAAGTGCGTGGTTCAGGTTCTCTTGTAACTGTATGCCTCCACAGTCCCTATCTTTCTTAAAATATCACTAGGAAGTTCATAACTTGCACAACAGGTGTTCTGTCTTTTTAACCCATACTTTATTGTAAGAATTGCCTTTAATGTCGATAGTTTCATTTTGTTGCGCAATTTTGATTTCACAAAGTTCATACTACTAAATGTGCGCTCTACATCTGCGTTTGAATGCGGAAGAGATAAGGCAGCGAGTGCAATTTCAGCCAGATCATGGTAAGGGTTTTCACCTGTCGCATCTCTGTAATTTGCCACTTCTGACCACAATTTTAGGGTGTTAGATGCATGGACGGGCTGACATCAAGTGATCAGGAAATAGACGTGTCCCTCCTTCTGTACCACGACCCGTTCAAATGTATTAAACTTTTCTTATTATTTATTGTCCCTGTAACCCCGTTGCTATATATTATGGCTCAAAATTAGGAAAACTGAGTTTTCATGGACAGTCCAAAAGTATCCAGAAAGTCGCTAGATTTCTGTGGATATCTCTAGATGTGCGACAAGTCGCAAATCGCTCTAAAATGTCGCTAGAAAAAAACAAAAAGCTCTAGATCTAGCTACAAAGTCGCTAAGTTGGCAACTCTGGTAGTTAGTTTCCTCTGTTTTTTTAGCTTCAGTGGGAGCGTTGAGCAGCTGACTAAAACTCACCTTCTTCCTTGACAGCAGATGAAGAACTGCAAAGTTAAACAAGTCAGAAGCCACGCATATAGCTGGTGCCAGATACACGATAACATTAGTGGGTGAACACTTGACTAGATTGCACAAGCTGTTGTGCTCAGCTAGGTTGTAATTACAATTTTACCCTATAAATTTATAATTTTTACCCATATAGGGTAAAATAAAAAAAAATGTTGATATTACTATATTTTTCATATTGCCCCCCTATTATTATTGAATTGCCCCCCAGTGGGGCGTAGGCCCCACGTTGGGAATCACTGAATTCTAGAGTCTAGATCTAGCTACAAAGTCGCTAAGTTGGCAACTCTGCCCATGGCATAATAATAGAAATACCCTAAATTTGTCTTGGAATATGTATCCTAAATATAACATAAAAGTAAAAATGTTAAATATAATATATATAAATATTTACCATCAGAATTAAATGAATTAATAAAAATAATAGGAATATGGATAAAGAACCATTGATACAGTTTACGCTTCACGCTGCTGCTCCCTCGACCAATCAGCGCTAACCTCGTCCAGCTCTTCTCTGAGCCACCACAACAAACTGTGGTAGCATGGTAAGTTTTGCACGTTGTTTTTCACAGAATAATATAGTATTAGCTCTTGCAATGGAATTTTATGACATTGATTAGTATTTACATGTATTTACCATTAGTAAGAAGTACAGAGAACTTATGTAAAGGTAGATTTTATTAAATAAAGTAATGGAAAGGACTGTTGCACGTGTAGCTTGTTGATGTGTTTCGCCTTGTAGGTTTCATTTCAGCGGCAGGTAAACACCAGTCATAATTTAAAAACGCAACCTTACGACCGCATTTGCGGTTTCGTTATAATAAATTATGGTAAATTTTTACTTTAGGACATGAGTCCCTAGGGGGAGCCACGAATTACCCAGAAGTATAGCAAGTAAGGGTAAAATTTTAACGAATATCTGTTATACATACACAAAACATGTTTAATAATATTAATTTTAGTGTAATTTTGTAAAAATAATTTGTAAGATGAAATATTAAACAGCGAAAAACTCGGCGAACGCTAAATACCAGAGTTCGTGAACAAGGGAGGTAACTCAGATCCATCGTGATGCACTAACCTAACCTAACGAAAAGTAAATCCTACGGCTATGTTAAATACCCCAAAGTAACAGAAACATCGGTAATTATATATCCATTTTGGATAGGTGACTCTTTGGAATTTAGCGTTTTTCGCTGTTTATTATTTCATTATTTTGACTACATTTCAATGAAAACATTATTAATCAGGTTTTATTGATGTAAAACATATATTCTTTAAGATTTTACCCGATTTAATATACTTTTGGGTACTTTTGGGTAATTCGTTGGACCGGTCCCTAGGGGTCCGACTAATTACCCAAATGTAGCCGCAATGAAGTCAAATAATGGTCCTACATGAATAAATCGGACTGCCAATCACTTGTCGACTACTATTTGGTTTCACGAAGTCACAAAAAATCGGCAAACTTAATTTAATCTGAGTTAATAGATCGAGTGCATGTACCTAACCTAACCTAACCTAACACAACTCAAATAAAATTAAGTTTACCAATTTTTTGTGACATTATAACACCAAATAATAATCGAGAAGTGATTCACAGCCCGATTTACGCTTGTAGGACCATCATTTGACTTCATTGCGACTACATTTGGGTAATTACTCGCTCCCTCGGTACAAGCACACTATCTATTAACTCAGTTTAAATTAAGTTTTCCATTTTTTTGTGACTCCTTGACACCAAATACTGTTCGAGAAGTGGTTGGCAGTCCGATTTATTCATGTAGGACCATTATTTGACTTCATTGGGGCTACATTTGGGTAATTAGTCGGACCGGTCCCTAGGGGTTGACCAATATGTTTTTCCAGTGTATTTTGGGGTAAATATTTACTTATGCACCGGTCATTGTTTGGATATTAAAAATACGTTTTTCCGGTGATTTTGGATTAGTATCGAACGAATTTAGGGGTTAACCAATATGTTTTCCAGTGTATTTTGGCGGAAATGGATATTGTTTTGGTAAATTTGCTTAAGCGCACCCAACTGTTAGAAAGTAAAAAAAAAATATTTGGTATTATTTTCTTTACACACCGTTCATTCCTACCACTAATCTATTATCATATTCGAATAAGACGTCTAATTTATAAGATAATTTTCATCTATTACATTACCGGCGGAAATGTATAATAACGGAGGTAGCTTTTCCTAAATATTTTCTATTTTCTTCCATTAACATCCCACCATTATCGTCTGCCTCTCCTCCAACACTGCGTGTCTCCTGCTTCTCCTTCATAAATCATCCTGCGCGTGCGTTGCTGTACACGTCACGCAGCCAATCAAAAGCCTTTTTGCTTTTGGAACCAATTAAAATGGTTTTAGGTTTAATTCAGAGTATATTTGGCCCAATCAAAATCGAGTTTTATTTTGGGTCTCGTATTTTGAAATTCAAGTTCAGTTCCGACAATGGAAGTCTGCGATGGATGTCGCTTAAAGTATATGGAGCTGATTGCAAGTTTTTGGGAAAAAACGTAAAAACTAAAGAATTTTTTCGATCGCATGGTGTTCTTCCAACCTCAGTAAAGTGTACTAAGAGCAAGACTGAATGTAAATATCGCAAAGACCAACATGTGTGGCATTGTGTAAGAATCCCAGAATGCAACGACGAACAAGAACCAGGTCAATAAGGTAAGAAATAGGTGATTCCATCATATGGTGAGAGTCAGTTAGGTTAGGTTTGGTTATTGTTTTTCCAGTGTTTTTTTTTTAAATAGTCGCTTAGCCACTTTCTCAGAAAACGTCAAGCGTAAAAAATTGCTTAAAAATACTGCTAATTTCCGCCAAAAAGGAAGGTCATTCGGTCTCAACACAAATACACTAGAAAAATATATTTTTATCTTGCTAAAAGTGAACGGTGTGACAAGAAAAATTTACCAAATATTTTTCTCGTGTATTTGTGTGTATTTAGACCAAATATGACCTTAATTTCCGTCTGAAATTAGCCGTTGTTTTTATCGATTTTTTTTTCGTGGGACTTTTCCGAAACAAAAAGGCTAAGCGAATAAAAAATACCAAAAAACACTTGGAAAAACATAAACCAAACCTAACCGACTCTCACCATATGATGGAATCGCCTATTTCTTACCTTATTGCCGTCTCTTCTTTGTCTTTGTTCTGACTTCACTAGGGGAAAGGTCACGGCAGGGCTAGCTCCCGAGGGATAATTATCAGAAATGGCCAGTGCTATGTGTGGTCTGGGGTGTGCGAGTTTGTTGGAGAGGGTCAAGGAAGAATTAGAGAGGGCCACGTTGGAGTACCTGAGATTAAAGGAAGAGTTGGCGTGGATGAAATTAAAGGGAGAGATGGCGAGAATGGAGGAAGAGGTGAGACAAGGAAAGCCCGTGTCTGACGATAACTCAGACGAGTGGAAGGTTGTGAGGAGAGGGAAGACCAAACTGGTGATGAAAAAACACACCAAGGTTACGTCAACAACGACATCAACAGCTAAGTGTACCAACTCATTCAGTCCCTTGATAGACGAATTGGACGTTAGCACAGTCAGGGACAGGGCTGACAAGGAAGGTATAAAAACTTTAATTGTTGGTGACTCACAGGTAAGGTACTTGGACAGGGCCTTTTGTGGTAAAAACAAAAATGGGATGAGGGTGTGTCTGCCAGGAGCTGGGGTGGGGGATATAATTGACAGGATGGACAATATCTTGTCGAGTAATGGGAACAAACCCATTATCTGCCTCAGTGCAGGAGGCAATGATATTGGCCGGTGTAGGAGCGAGGAGCTTCTTGATAAGTTCAAGGCAGCTATAGATCGTATTAGGGCTAGGGAAGGGATCCCTATCATATGCGGTGTCTTGCCTAGGAGAGTTGGCAGTGAATGGTTGTCAAGGGCGGCTGGTGTCAACGACCGTCTTGACAGATATTGCAATTCAATATCAGTCCCATTCATTGACAACTGGGACAACTTCTACGGCGGAAGGGACCTTTATGCTAGGGATGGGGTGGCAACCCTGGCTGGGTCTCTCGAGAGGGCAGTTCAAAGGATATCGAAGCCTTTAAACGGCTAGGGGAACATGGACACGGGGTGGAGGAGACTGCAGTGGGAGTGGGTAAACAAAGTGAAAGATTACAGGGAAATAGTCTCAGGAATGATAACAAAAATAATTAGACGGAGTTAAAACCTAAACTCGGTAAAGAGAGGACTCAGAACACGACTAACTTAAATGTCTACTACGCGAACAGTAGAAGTATGAGAAACAAAATGGATGATATTGGGGCCTTGGTATGTACCGAAAAAATCGATATAATGGCATTAATTACCGGTCGAATACCAAATTGCAGGTTACAAATTGTTCCATATTGTTCCATACCGATAGGCAGACCAGGAAAGGAGGCGGAGTAGCAATCTATGTCAGGGATAATCTGAATTGAGAAATAAATAAGGAAATAAAAACTGAGCAGAATACAGAAACAATTTGGATAGAATTAATCGACAGTAGGGAAAAATTAATCATAGGAGTAATATATAGACCTCCCAACCTTGATAGAGTTAATGGGCGACTTATCTGGGATGAAATGCGCAGGGCTTCCATACTCAACAATGTCTGTATAGTAGGCGACTTTAACCTTGGTCAAATAGATTGGACTGACCTTTCGGGTAACTCGGTATCAGAGGATTTCCTCGAAACGATCCAGGACTGTTTCCTAAGTCAACATATAACCGAACCCACCCGGGGTAATAATATACTCAATTTAGTTCTGTCGAACAGAGAAAACCTCATTAGCAATGTCGGGGTAGGGAACGAACTTGCAAACAGCGATCACAAAGAAATTAAATTCCAGTTAGATATTCAGGTCAGATTTCAGAAGGGCAAACTTTGCTAGTTTAAAGAGGCAGCTGAGAGGGGATGTCGCGCTTGGGCGTGAACCTGACAAATGACACCGACCTGATAACGAGATCTTAGATTGTCGAGTTCCATGACAATTTAAATATTGAGTTACTTTATGCACAAAGGCAGAACATACCACACAAAAAACTCAGATCAGACAACAATGACCCTAAATGGATAAATAATTATTTAAAGAACATTATTGGCCAAAGGAAGGCTATTGGTAGAAGGATAATCCGTGGCGAAATTTACCTCCGGGAGTATTATAAGGTATTGGCTGGTAGGGTTAAGACCGAGATAAGAAAAGCAAAGAGGAATAATGAACTGAAGATAGCAAGGGAGGCGAAGACAAACCCCAAAGGATTCTACCAAATGTATCAAACTAAAACACGAGATAAGATTGGACCAATACGTTCAGATACCGGCGAGCTAACTAATAAGGACGGAGAAATGAGCAATAATCTGAATAAATGTTTTTCAACAGTTTTCACCACCGAAAATTTAAACATGATACCCGAGGCACCGACTATTCAGAGATAGTGAAGAAAACAAATTAAGCGAGATAGTAGTGACTAGTAATGATGTTAATAAGCAAATAGACAAACTGAAGCCTAATAAGTCACCTGGTCCCGATGAGATATTTGCTAGAGTATTAAAGGAATGTAAGGAAGAGCTTAGTATGTCCTTAGCAAAGTTGTTTAACATGTCATTAAAAACCGGTATAGTACCAGAATCCTGGAGGGTAGCAAATGCAATACCGATTTTCAAGTAGGGGGATAGATCATTGACCTCTAACTACTGCCCAATCAGTCTAACCTCAATAGTAGGCAAATTACTAGAATCAATCATTTCAAACTATTCAAAACCACCTGGAGAAGCACAAGTTGATCAATGATTCCCAACATGGCTTCACAAGCGGGCGTTCATGTCTAGCTAATCTATTAACATTCTTTTCATCAGTTTTCGAATCGGTGGACGAGGGGCACAATTATGATGTGGTATATCTCGACTTTAGCAAAGCCTTCGACAGAGTCCCCCACGAAAGACTAATTAGAAAGGTAGAAGCGCATGGCATCAAATCCTTAAATGGATTAGGGCGTGGTTACGGGACAGGAAAGAGCGGGTGAGCAAAAGCCTTCGACAGAGTCCCCCACGAAAGACTAATTAGAAAGGTAGAAGCGCATGGCATCAAATCCTTAAATGGATTAGGGCGTGGTTACGGGACAGGAAAGAGCGGGTGAGCATAACGGCACTAAATCGCATTGGAGCAACGTCACTAGTGGAGTACCCCAAGGCTCAGTACTTGGACCATTATTATTTATTATACATAAACGACATAGATATCGGCATAGACAGCAACATAAGTAAATTTGCTGTTGACACTAAAATAGGACTTGTAATTAAATCTGACGAGGACTCTGCAAAACTACAGGAAGATCTGAAAATTTTTCGAATGGTCGGAAAAATGGCAGATGAAATTCAATGTGGACAAATGTAAAGTACTCAGTATGGGAGATGTAAACAGGAAAACCAGTTATCAGATGAACAACGATGCCATTGTGGAATCCGACTGCGAGAGAGATTTAGGAGTAATGATAAGTAGGAAGCTTAAGCCAAGTAAACAATGTGTTTTTGCTCATAACAAGGCTAATAAAGTACTTGGGTTCATACAAAGGAGTGTTAGTTACAAGACTAGCGAGGTCATCTTAAAATTATATCTAGCGCTTGTGAGACCTCACCTGGATTACGCAGTTCAGTTCTGGTCACCGTATTACAGAATGGATATACAGTAGAATCCTTGGAAAGAATCCAGAGGAGAATGACAAGACTAATCCCGGGCATTAGGAACCTTGAGCACAGAGACAGGTTAAAGCATCTTAATTTGCACTTCCTCGAGAAATGTAGAGTGAGGGGCGACATGATAGAGGTGTATAAATGGAAGTCAGGGTTAAACAAAGGGGACATTGCAAAGGTACTCAAACTATCCAACCAGGAGTGAACTCGTAACAATGGTTTTAAATTAGACAAATTTAGATTTCGGCGTGAAATAGGTAAACACTGGTTTGGAAACAGAGTAGTGGATGAATGGAACAAGTTACCAAATATCATTATTAACTCGAATACGCTGGATAGCTTGAAACACAGGTTGGATGCTTTTATGAGCAATAGGGGTTGGGTATAAACGGGACTGCCCAGTATGGGTCAATAGGCCCGCTGCAGTTTCCTCCATTCTTATGTTCTTATAAGGGACGAGTTAGGACAATGCCACATATGTTGGTTTTTGCGATCTTTGCATTCAGTCTTGCACTTACGACACTTAACTGAGGTCGGGAGAACACCATGCGATCGAAAAAATGCTAGTCGTCGTCTTTTTTTTTTTTTTTTATATAAATGAATATGAATTTGGAAATATGAGACCCAAAATAAAAATAGATTTTGATTGGGCCAAAAATACCGCGAATTAAACCAAAAATAATTTTAATTGGTTGCAAAAAAATGCTTTTGATTGGCCGTGTGACATGTACGGGAACGCATGCGCTTGATGATTTATGAAGGAGACACGCAGTGTGGGAGGTGAGGAAGGCGATAATGGCGGAAGATTAATGAAAGAAAATAGAGAAAATTTTGGATACGCTATCTCCATATTATACATTTGCGACGGTAATGTAATAGATGAAAATTATCTTATAATTTGACGTCTTATTTGAATATGTTAATAGATTAGTGGTAGGAATGTGGGGTGTGAAAATGCAAAATATGAAGTTGTTCATAATTATATTTCCCACCTCTGCTGATGGCTGTTCGCTCGAGCAGCCAAGTTTGTCACATATTAGTTCTATCGATTGCGTGTTCTGAATTCCCAGTACTGTTTTTGCTAACTTCTACCATATAACCAAACTAAACCTTGCCTAACCCCATACGTTATGTAATAACCCTTGAGTCAAGTGGTCAGCCTTCACGAGAATATAAATAGCCATTACAGTATTTCTTACCGGTAAAGGTTACGAAAGCAGAACCACCAGAAGTTGTTTTTCTTTATATTTGCGATATTTATTGTTTTGGTGATAAGTGCATGTATATTAAAGGAAACGTTAAAGGTTTACAAAAGCGCTACCACCGGAAGGAAATGTGCGATATGGTTTAAAAAAATTTCTACACAATATTAGCATGATATTAAACACAGAAATGAAAACGACAATGCATATGCATAAAACCTACTAGAACCTCGTAGAACCTGACCTAACAAACCCAACCTATTAGGTCAGGTTCTATACATTATGGTGTTCATTTTGTGTTTAATATTATGCTAATTTTGTGTTTAATATTATGCTAATTTTGTGTACAAAATATTTAAACCAACAAAGGTAAGCAAAAGAACCAAGGAAACCCTACCTAACAGTTGTCACAAGATGCTGTAAAAAACTATAGATATAAAGAGAACAGAAAATGCATTTAATAAGTAACAAATGAAGAATAAACCGGTATATATGTAATTCTAAACTGACTAAAGATGTGTACTGTACTATCTCGGCCCTTCAAGCAAGTAGCTGACTAGGGGTTCAGGAATGACACCTGGACACCACCTGCTTGGAGTGTATTTAAAGAGTGTCCGCACAAATAATGACTGTGAAGGGTGGCATAATCGCCTTAACTTGAAAGCAAGAAAGGGGCAACTTAACGTTTTTGTTAATGAAGCAAAACTAGTGACACCTCAGGTGCGGCTCTTGTCCGACGGTAAAGTGTTATGAAAGCAACAGGCCAAGTATGTACACCACCAAGGACAGCTCTTCAAACTGTGGGACGAATTCAGTAGTGGACGAAGATCTGCTAAAAATTTGCTGTGAGCCGTTTCACATCACGTGAATGTTTATCAGTAATGTTTGTACTTTAATGCTGCTTTTTATCATTGTACTTTTGTACTTTTATTATTCATGCAAAAATGAAGGATACAGGTGAAGCCTGCCCTTGGTGACTTCAGGCCAGTGATCTCGGCCCAGTTACAGCAGTAATCTCGACCCATTTTGGTAATCTCGGCGTGGGCCGAAGTCAACAATTTTAAGTCAGGATTTAAATATGACTGTACTTTGTTTTTTCCTAGTTATAAGGAAAGATTATCAAATTTATATAGAAGTCCCTTAATATGCCATAATTGCATTTTCCCGATTAAAACATTTTGAAGTTTACTTGTTTTGATATTTCATGTAGATCCACAATGGAAATGTGGGCAGGATAAATTGATTAAATCACACCGGAAAAAGGAAACAGTGGAGCACCTTAGCTTTCGTCTTTAGTCAAAACATCTTGAGGCAACTGAATTTACAGGGACTGAGAGAGGCTTATATACACTGGGTGATCTTACAAAACATCAGGTCAGGTAAAAAATATGAGACCCACTAATCATCTATTCGACATCTCCATCAAATGCTTTCAAATAATTTTTAACCTTGGACCATTGACAAATAAATTTATGTACCATATCAGTTTTGTACTGACCATCACTAAGGTTTACAGAATTCATTTCCCTAATCAAACTTGCAGTGAGACTCAATCCAGGAGCCTTGGGTCCAAGAACAAATCTCTTTTGAGGATTTTCTAATTTTCCGAGTCCAAAGTCATTCATCTGTTACCTTTGGCTTAACAATAGACTCCCCGGTACATAAAGTTTTGCTTTCATGCATATACACTTGGTTAAACATTTGCTTTACTCCCTAACCTTACTCTGTGGCCATGGAAAAAGTGGGTGATCTGTATTATAGACAAGCATGCGGAATTACTACATGGTTTTTGTTTTTCATATACAATACCAAGCTCATCTTCTGGTGGATGATTTTCTCCATGCACAGCCTTATTATTATAACATGCAATAATGGTCAGGAACTACTTCCCTTCTTATCACTCCATGAACCGCAAGATAATAAGTTCTGCTCATTGTCTGATAAAGGCTTAATGTGGTTGCTGCTCACTTACCCACTCTTTACCCAAAACAAAGCATGGTGATATCGTACACCTTTTAATTGTCTCCGCGGAACTGAGCATTCATTGACATTGACCACAGTTGCCTGTGTGCTGCAGTTTAAGGGTTAAATTACAAAATAAAGAAATAATACCGGTATTTGTATGCATACCTTGCATAAATAAACAAATATACTAATAACTCTCAGCATCTGGCTTACTGTAAGTTGTCTCAAATCTTTGGTGTAATTTCACCAATATTGACATCAAAGACTGGGATCACAATATTATTTTCTTAATAATAAAGGATCTCCATCCCAGCTTATATAACTTGAAGATTAACTAACCTTACACTATTGGGGGTATGATGGGTAAGAGATATTTAATCTTTGGGTGAAAATTTTAAAGGTGATACTTTATTTATAATAAAATATTGTATTCTCAGTCTTTGGAATTAATAGTGATGAAATTAAACCAAAGAATTGAGGTAACTTATGCCAAATGCTGGATGTTCATCACAATGGATCTTGCAGTATGGTACAACTGTGGCTCGGTGTTGATGGTATTTTTTTTTGTCATTTTACAATACATATACAATATGTAACTGCTGAAGAAAAAATAATTTAATAAATAAATAAGGATTTAACAGATTCCCCTTGTGTTGATTTCAGCCTCCCAAAAAGGAAACAAAGGCTAAACAGCCTGCTAAACAGACAGCCAAGAAGAAGGAGGGAGGAGGTGGTGGAAAGGCCAAGAAGAAGAAGTGGTCAAAGGGAAAGGTAAGATTTTCCCATTATAGATCTATTCATTTAATTTCAACTGGATAGCTAGATTTGTATGTTTCTAGGTAAATGGCAAGTTTAATATGAAATTGGTTTGTAAAAATTTTGCTAAATGACAAACCTGTGCTATTAGTTGAAACATATTGCCATTAAGGTTATAGTATTTTTGTATCAGTATGGTTTAAAAGAGTTCAGTACACTGTACTTCAATATGTTTCCAAGTGGCAGAAATAATGTTGATTCAATAATGCTTTTACAGGTCCGCGATAAGTTAAACAACCTTGTATTGTTTGATAAACCAACATATGACAAGCTGTATAAGGAAGTGCCATCATACAAGCTTATTACTCCCTCTGTTGTCAGTGAGAGGCTTAAGATTACTGGTTCTTTGGCCTGTCGTGCTCTCGATGAACTCTTGAATAAGGGTAAGTTTGGTTTGTTTTTATATTTTATATATATATATATATATATATATATATATATATATATATATATATATATATATGTGTGTGTGTGCGTGCAGTGGTCCCTCGGTTAACGAACGCTTCGGCTAACGAAATTTCGGTTAACGAACAAAAATTCAATTAACGAAATTCTTACGAAAACGTGTCAACATGTTTTGGCTACCTCATCGGCTGATAGGTTAGTCCGCCAATACAGTAATCGGTTCTAGGCTTACATTCGTTAAAATTGGAGTAAATATCAAGAAGGTTGTGCTATTCAATATTTTTCCAAGTTTTATTTTAAAATTATTTGTCATTTTAACACGTATTTAACATAATTTGCAGTACAGGTGCTCCCCGACTTAGGACGGGGTTAGGGACTCAAATCCAGGTCCGACAAATAAAATAAAAAATATCTACAATGAAATACATTACAGTAAAAGTAATAAATAATGAGGAATGGATATTGTGACAGCACTCACCTTTAATGTAGTCAGCTGAATGCACATGGGGCCCCCATAATTTTCTAATTATACATGGAGACTACATTAACTGGAAGAAGCAGAGGAGGAGACAGGGCTGGGTGGGTCATCAATGTCGCTTTCTTCAGACAGGTTTATGGACTGTGGAAACTTGCTGGTTGAAGGTATTGGATCATCTTGAGGGAGTGAAGAGGCAGCACTGGTGGGGCGTGAGGAGACAGCACTGGGGGACTTCTTAAAATAGATGTCCAATTTAGACTGCACAGTTTGTTTTTTCTTTTCATTATAAATTTCTCTAGCAAGCAAGTGCATCTTGGATCATTCTGTCAACTTTGGCATACGCTCATAATTTTGATCCATGCCATCAAACATTTGCATTCCTTTATTAATTGTAACAAATGCCTCTGCCATTTGTTTTGCTGAAAACTTTTTTGGGGGGGGGTGCAGGTTCTTCTTCTACATTTTGTCTCCTCTGCAATTTTCTGTGCATCTAGTTCAATAAGATCCTCGTTACTGAGCTCTTCTGCTACACTTTCAACCAACTGTTCGACATCTTCATTATCAATTTCTAACTGAAGCTGTTTACCTAACTCCACTGTCTTGTTACTAAAATCCTCTAAAACTGTTCACATATCTCTTCTGGACTTTCTTCCATATTCCACTCATGCACTGTTTTGTAACCTGATCCCATGCTGCACTAATGTTCTTTATACATGACAAAATGTTGTACTCCTTCCAAAACTCTGAGCGTTTTCTCACCTTCAGTAGCAGCAACAGCTTGAGCGAAGGTCGTACGTAAATAATACGCTTTAAAGGCAGCAATAGCACCTTGATCCATGGGTTGGATGACAGAGGCAGTGTTAGGTGGAATGTACCCTACCTTAACATCAGGGTGCATGTCGTCCAGGTGTGGTGGGTGTCCCAGAGCATTATCCAAAATCAGCAAAATCTTGAATGGAATCCGTTGTTGCAGACAATACTCCTTGGCTCGTGGAATGAAACAAGTCATGAACCAATCCTCAAACAGTGCTAAGGTCATCCAGGCTTTCTTATTACTGCGATAAAACACTGGCAGTGTGTGCTTGCTGACATGTTTAAAAGCCCTGGGGTTCTCTGAATGATAGATCATGAAGGGCTTTAGCTTGAAACCAGCAACATTCCCCCCAACAGAAGTGTAATTCTGTCCTTGAATGCCTTGAATCCTGGCATTGATGCCTGTCCTGCTCAGGCATGCGCTTCCACAATAATCCAGTCTCATCCACATTGAATATTTGCTCAGGCAAATAATTCCCTTCCACAATCACTTCATCTAACTCCTCCTTAAAAGCTTCGGCAGCACCAACATCGGCACTAGCTGCCTCTCCACTCGCCTTAACATTGTGTAGACTGTAGCATTTTTTAAGTATCAAACCACCCATGACTTGCTGTAAAGGTTTGATCGCATTCATCTCCTGCCTGATCCTTCAGGCTTTGGAACAGGCTTCTTGCTTTAGCCTGTATGGTTAGAAGGCTTAAGGGTACAAGCTTCTGTATCTGGTCTTCTATCCATATCACCAATAATTTGTCCATATCGTGAATAGGACCTTGTCTTTTCTTCGAAGTTATAGTTCCCTTTATAGGTGTTGATCCTATCACTACATCACGAATACGTTCCTTGTCCTTCAGAATAGTGGATATAGTCGAGTGCGAGAAACCTAGGTCGCATGAGATTGTTGCTACTGTTTTTCCATTCTCATGCTGCATTATTATCTTCATTTTCATCTCAAAAGTAACTGCCTGTCTCCTTTTCTTTGGAGCACCACCAGCACTCTCACTTGTACGCTTTCCAGTCATTATAAAGTCAATTAAATACGATAATAACGTAAGTACACAGCGTGATCAATATAGGGTACGATAGCCAAACACCAACTAAGCGCTGTACTGAGTGAGTGAAACCACGCGGTGACCCAAGCCACGCCACGCTCTCGCCAGGGACGGAAACGTTTCGGTATGGAAAATGCGCGCGTCATTTGAAAATATTTTTGGTCACGACTGCCGCGGTCGTATGTCCCGATGGTTGTAAGTACCGATGGACGTAAGTTGAGGCAGTCGTAAGTCGGGGACTACCTGTACAGGGAATTAGTTTTTGGTGTGCCCATCAGCCACTTCACTCACCCACCAAGGCATCTGTTTGAGTCTCTGTTCAGGGGAGGAAACATCTTGCTTGTGGCTCTCTTGAACACAGAGTATTTTTATGTTTTTACAGTACAATTATTGGTCATTCTGAAATTTATTTAACATATTGATAATACTGTATATAGTGCAGTGTTGATTTGAAGAAAATAATCTTGAATTACACCAAGTGAACATCAAATTTTATTGGTGAAATGACTGCTTCCTGAAAGGTGATTTGTCCTCCATCCCCACTTCCTTCTCTTCTCCCTTCTCCTCCACCCCCACTTCTAATTCCAATCAATATCATCAACCAGGAGCCTTCTACATGCACACCTCAAAGTTAGTGTACTTACTGCATTTATTTTTAGTTTGTTTGTACTTTTCAGTGAGCTGGAACCAATTACCCAATATCCCATTGAAACAATGGATTCGGTTAACGAATGACCTTCTGGAACGAATTGGTTCCAGCTCACCGAAAAGTACATACAAAGTAAAAAAAATGCAGTAAAGTACACTTACTTGGAGGTGTGTATGTAGAAGGTTCCTGGTTAATGATGATGGGAATTAGAAGTGGGGGTGGAGGAGAAGGAAGTGGGGATGGAAGAGAAATCACCCCATGCTTCATGCTGCCATTTCACCCATAAAACTTCACTAGGTGCAACTCAAGATTATTTAATTTAAATCAACACTGCACTGCACTATATATTGTCAATATGTAAAATAAATTTCAGAATGACCAATAATTGTACTGTAAAAATGGTTATGTTCAAGAGTCTCAAGCAAGATGTTACCTCCACTGACCTGACACACAAACTGACGCCTGCTGGTGAGTCAAGTGGCTGTTTGGCATGCTAAAAATAGTTTCCTGTACTTCAATTGTGTTCAATAATTGTTAAAATGACTAAAAAAATGTAATATCAAACTTTTAAAATTATTGATTAGTACAACCTTCTTGATATTTACTCAAATGGTTAAAGTTTCAATTTGTGATTTTTTTAATAATCCTGAAGATTCTATTTTACCAAACCAATGGTATGCAAGTTTTTGCGATTCAGTATTTACACACTTTTAAACATGAACAGTATGAAATATTACGTCAACATCTATAAAAATATATACTGTACATTGGTTTTTCCATTCTATGATGAGTTATGGTCATATCCTAAATTCCTGCTGCTTTGTTTACTTTGTGTAAAAGCTGCTGCCAGTCAGCTCGCACTACACTTAGGTTTTCTTGTGCGTAGCTGGCAATGTCCACACCTCCAAACTTTTGTTCACTTCCAAGTTCCACACTTAAACTCATGCATTTTTTATACATGAGCTTAAATGAGGAGATGAATGTACTGGTCTACTGATCCCCAGTGGGTTTAAAGAGTTCATTATATGGCAATTGTAGGAGAATCTGCATACTGTACAAACCTTTGTGATCATACATCTGCCAGTACTGTGTAAGAGTCACCACTGAGCTTTTGACTTTTATTTGGAATTATTTAATGGTGATTATTGCTTGAATATCTTAAAATAGTGGTAGAATTGGGTCTGGTGGTTCACTGGTTAACTGTGGAAGTTGAACAGGCTGTTAATTGGGAAGTTTGCTGGATATGTTTTAAAATATAACACTTGTTCATTGGGAATTGCTGGTTGATGGAATGCTAGATTGGAGCGGGTCAACCTTAGATACTGGATTTGGGTTTCCTACAATATTCCATCATGGAATTTATGGCTAGGTATTTTGTAGTGCTCTTGGTAGAGTGTAATCATAAAGTCAATATATGCATGGACTAACTTTATATTCTTAAATTTGAATTATAGTGGTAGACTTTTTAAGTTAAATATTAGAAGTTGGTCATGCTCTTTATTACATTTTATTTCAGGTCTCATCAGACAAGTTGTGAAGCACCATGCACAGGTTGTATACACAAGGACTACAAAGTCTGAAGACTAGAAAAATTAAATTGATGAATTAGATTGTTGTTTTTTTATAGTTTCCTGCGTGGTGTTATTTAACAAAATAATGGAAACTTTATTATTGCACAACTGATAAAAAATTTACTCTTTTTTTTCTACATATTTTACAGCCATTTTCATGTGTGGGTTAGCCATGTTTACCTGATGGCAGCTCTTCATAGTACATGGTCTCTTACCAGCTTCATAGCTTAAGTCATTAACTTTTACATGAAGGAAAGTTCTCTTGCTGGCAATAAAGGCAGCAACTCCCTTAATGTCCTCCAGCCATTTCTGACTTGCTATTGGTTTACCTTCAACACCACTCGCATCACACAAGTAGCAGAACTCCTTGACGTTATCCAAGGATATATCCCCGATGAGTTTTTCCAGCCTTATTTACTGTAGGTTACATGATTATTTGTACACACAACATCCTGCAGTTGACTCTTTGCACCTCTTGTTTACCCACCTTCCACACTAACACTGCACAGTTAGTTGTTGCCAATACCTTACAGACAGGACACTGCCATTTTCCACCACCGGTCCCTCCCCTATGCCTACAGCACTTTTGATTACCGCAAATTGCGGCGTATAAGTCGACATTTTAAGCTTGAAAAAATCTCTCCAAAACCAGGGGTCAACTTATACTCAGAGTATAAAATGTGAAGCTGTACCACATAGTGGTAAACAAGTGGAACAGCTTGCCTAACACTCGCTGTGCATCACTTAGCGTAACTCCCATGGCCTGCCGCTAATATTTCCTACTGAAATTCATGTTTGGTAAACTTATTTAACATAGATTATAATAAAATTGTAAATTCCATTATAATTAAACGAACAAACACCACATGCCATTTTCAACAGCTGATGGACAGTAAACAATCAATCAGAATGTCACTAAACCCAGGCAGCCAGCCAGACAACTACCAGGTACTATGATATGGGTGCCATCTGCGCAATTTTATGATTGCGCTATAGATTGTGAGTTCACATACACTACAGGGGTAATGACAGTTTAATGATACATGATGACAGTTTATTAAATATACGCACAATGACGCCATAATTAAAACCTTAACTCTTAAGATAAAAAGTTAAAACTTTAACTTTAAGATTGTTACTTCAGTTATATTTTATTGACAGTAAAAGCATGTATGATCACATTTTAAAATCCTTCAAAGTCTGCTGGCTGTTTGTCACACACAAAGTGGTCTGCATATGGTTCCAAATCACTGGAACTTCCGACTTCATCTTCATTATTTTTGCTGTCTTCCTCCTCCTCGCCACATCAAATCCTCTTCTTCCCCATCCACTGCATTTGAAATCCCACATTTTTTTGAACGATTTTACGGCAGTTTCTATACGAACAGCTTTCCAAGACTATTACAAATTTGCACCACACATTCAGTGGTGGAGCACGCATATTACCCCCCTTCATGAATGATTATTCTCCCTCAACCATCCATTTATTCCACTCAGAACGAATTGCCATGTAGGCTTGTTCAGTGTATCCCCCATGCACTGAACAAGCCTACATGGCAATTTACTGAACCATTGTGGCTTTATGCTCTTGCTGGCATCCACTCATTACCCACACACCAACCTGACAACAGTTGAAAATATTTATCCTCATGGCTCCCCCCAAAAAAAAGGATGAAATATGATGAAAGTTGTTGCTTTTGAAAACTCTTCAAACAACTGCGCTGCAGCGTTTGACAGTTTAAGTCTAAGCCGTGCTGCTGACAGTGTAACGGACCCATAGTTTCGCAGCTGGCCGCTTGGTGTTGCCACTGGCAGTTTGTTTACCATAATGTTCAACTATCATACCGTTTATAGCGATACTATCAAAGTGCTATACAGAGTACTGGTATGCTGTGTAAACAATTACTATTTTATTGGAGGTGCTGATTTTGGCTTGGTGTTTTCCAGAGTTCTTAAGAATATAACTTACTGAAGATTTTTAGCATTTGCTTGCTGTCCTACATAGATCCTGTTGCCCACTTCCCTTTTTGTATGAACTATATAATATATACATAAAATATTGAAACGTATTACGGTAAGTGTCTTGATGAAAGTGGCGTGGCCTTATTACACACTTTTGCCTATGTTTGGGCACGAGTGATGAGTCCGTCATCCTACACTTTGTGGCAACTTTGATGGGCAAACCAGAGGACAGCCCGTGCCCGTAGTTGAGCGAAATCAGCAGACTGCCCAGTGGTTTGGCGCCAAGCATGGACCGACGACGCTGCCAGCCACAAAAAGTTACACCTGGCTGTCAGTCTCACCACGAGCCACAGGTGGTGGTTGCTTGGTTTACCTCATCATGTCTAGCCCTCCGTCCACGTGCACCACAGAACCTGCAAACCTCCACTGGTCCAGACAAAATTCCGTACGGTTAATTGACCTTTCTCGCCATTACCCATGCCTATAGAATGTCATAAGTGACATGTACAAAGATAGAGAGACAAATGTGCAGCAGCACTCAAGGGAATTGCAAAGGAGATAAGGAAGATTACTGCCGCCATTACCACGGGATATAAAGCGGAAAATAGAGACACTACGAAATCAACATAGACGTGAAATGAGACTGGTACATAAATCACAGAAGTCAGGCTTAGACGAAATTTACAGGCCAAAATTATGGTACTTTAATGACATGTCATTTCTGAATGATAGTGACACAGAGCATCTGTGTCAAACATGGATGCCGGTACCAATCGCACTACTGATGATGTGGCTACGGAGTTATGTTCTGATCATGAGGTACGTAAGCATTCTCTCATTATGAAGGGGCTTTAGCCCTTGAGGGGCTGATAATTCCATTCTCGTGTAGTTGGTGAAACCATGTTCACTTCCATCTTGTAGCTCACTTAATATCACATGACTTCCCAATACTTCTCACCTACTTAACCACTTTAAATTAGATCATTTTCTGCACTCTGTCCTTACTTTTCATTTTTACAAATACAGCAATTGATATGCTATATAGCGCTATTTTCTTCTTTCCAACTGTTGCGCAAGGTGATACCGCACTCGGGCTGCCGGCCACCTACGCAGCAGTGTGGACAACATCATAGTCATGCCCGGTGAGGGCACTGTCCGATAGTGTGGACGGGGCTTTATAACGCGAGAATTGAACTAAACATGAATTTTGAACTAAAATCTTGGTCGACTTATATGCCGCAATTTAAGGTATGCCACATTCACACATTAAATTCTTTAAAATACTGTACAGTCATTTCTGCTACAACGCGTGTTCTGTCAACACAAATTGGTTGTAACGCGATTGATGAATGGGGAACGCTGTTTGTTAAACGCGAACTTTTTCATACGAATGTTGGCAATAACACGATTCCATTCTCAGTGTTTTAAGTGTAGCGGGGTTATGCAATGTTTACAATTCACATTCGACATCACATGTTCAATTTATTCGTGTGTTTTTTGAGAGGCGATCTGTAAATTTTGTTATTTTTTGCCAATTTAGCTGTTACCCAAAAATACTGTATGAAAAGAATAAGTAAAAAGAATGTTTTGCAGTGAGGATTAATAACGGTTTACACCAGCGTGCACTGTTTACATCACGTGATCAGTTGAATCGCGCGGTGTCTGTCGATTGCTCTGAAGTGTCCAGGATTTTTGCTGTGTTCTCCAAATTTGTTGTGTTACCTGGTAGCCATGAATATGGAAAGACAAGATAAAAAGAATGTTTCCAAGAAGCCGTTATTTTTTTTTGCGAATTTCTATAGCTTGAGGTTTCACGAGCACGCAACTATCACGTTGTAGCAGAAATGACTGTATTTTCTTGTAATGAAAGCCCATTGGTAAGGTTTCCAAATTATATATTTTTGATTGCAATGTCTTGTTGAAAGCGTGACTGGTGCAGCACAATATACAGTACAGTTTATGAAAATTTTAACTGACAAAGATTTTGTTTATGGTTACTAATATTCATTGCTGTACTGCAGTGGCTGTTATTTGTTACATTTCAGCTAAACATCATTAGAATATTCCTCTTCTTCCTTCATGTACAGTCCCCCACTTCATTCCGCATTGTCTTAATGCTCCAGATTAGGCAGAAACGAGTAGGCATAATTAGTACCCCTCAGTACTGAGGTGTATGCCATCACTTAGGCTGTACTTACAAGTGCGAGTCAATGCAGATCAGTATGATGTTCCAAGAGACAACATTACTGTGTAAATTGTCCCAGCACAAAATTCTGACAGGATTGTCAGTTGGTGTTCACCAGTGAGGGCAATCTGCGTCATGACAGGGCGGGCAGCCCTGCTGAAGACCGTCCACTCAGCAGAACCAGGACTTGTCTGTAAACACTTCTACATCTGGTGAGGTCACAGGTCGAAAGATTTATTGGCAGCACACGCCAGCACTGTAGCTGAAGCCACTAACACGCATCTTAAAACTTATTTGGTAGCTTCACAGTTTTGTACTGTATAGATTACTGATTATTTCTTTACCACAGGTATTTTATATTTACCATAGCATTTTTAGGCAATGTTGCAAGCTCAGAATCTAATTATCCCATTCTCCTCTTACTGTTATTCAATTTATAGGAATGACCAACTGTTTCCATCTTCATTGCCTCCTATAAAACACACACTAACCCATCTTAAAGCCAGTTTAACAACTTGCTTTGACCCAGTTGATAATTCAGAGGTACTGTTTGTGAATTTTCTGTTTCACCATTACTCTTTATTCAGTCAATATTCACTTCTTTACTACTTTGTTTCTTATTGCATTGTTTACTTAGTGATTCACCACCAATACTTTATTTTAGCGACATCCTTCACCATGCTGCATGATGTTATGGGGTGAGTAGTAGTTTACATCCCTAAATTTGCTCATTCTGTTCATGTTCTCTTTATATTTGTTACCAGTGTTTCACATACAGTACTAATTTTTGCTGAAGTGCAGAAATTATCAGAGATCAACATAATCAATTAATCATCATGTTAATACAATAGATTAAATACTTTGAACTTGTGATTCTTTGGGTGTCTGTTGC